AGAATCAAATGGAAAAGAGAAGGGACAATGAAATGGAAACTGGGGGAATATAGGGATTCAAGGAACTTAAATTGAGTTACTATATTGGGGACACCCTATTATTTACTATATATATATATACCCATTATGGTAACTTAATTTAAGTTCCTTAACAGCAACCCTGTAGCCTCTGCACGCTGGCAAGCTTTCTTGCTTACCTTGGCTCTCCACAGAACTTCAGAGGCATTGCAAAGTAGGGGGAAAACAGTGTAGACGTCCAAATACTACAATCCTTGTTATTGGGAACCCCAAAATAGTACCCCTAATTCTGGGAAACCCCCAACCAGCAGCAACGATAAACCCTAAACCCTAAACCCTAAATAGTAGTTTCCATTTTCTTTTCCATTATCCCTATTGCCTAGCAACAGCAAAGAATCACGGTTGCAAATAGCTCCAAGCAGCTAAGCCAGTTTCCCTTGCCTCATTTTTTCCATTCGGTAAGTTCCCCAAATAGGGGGACCCTAATATAGACCTCCCAAATCTATGGTCCTTATCATGGGGACCCCCCCCAAAATGGTACCCCTAATTTTGGACTTTGCGCATCTTGTTGCTGATTAGGCGCGTCTGCGGACACCGCATTGAGGTTCTGAAAACAGCAGGCAGCCTCCAACGCTATGGTGCCCATGCCTGTAGATATGGTGATTGTCCTAAACTCCAGTTTATTATTTAAGGTTGTCCCAAACTATGGTCACTTCTGGGGTCCAGAGTATAATATGTTCTCTAGCCTCAGGTACCCAACAAGGGAGCGTAACTTAGAACAACTCTCATACTGAGGTTTGGTCAGTCAAGCGAGCATGCACCACAATTCAAAACACAGGCTGCTGAATGCAGAAATTAGAAGATTGGCCACCGATCTACTTTCTTGCAATCAATGTTAGATTGCTATACAACCGTAGCGCCGTTGCGCCCCGCATGCTTTAGCGGTAGTGCTTCTACTGTTGTTCATGTGTCCTCAAAAACGAGGTCCGCGTATATAAAGCTCAATAGAGACACAGCCTGAGAACTATAAGCCCTAAACCCGACATATCCTCTGAATCATACCCCTTCACGTGTGCACGAGCCCTGTAAAGTCGCTTCAGCCAGACCTATGACTGTGAGATGAATTTCAGGTCCAAGCACCACCACAAAGGTCCAATAGCCGATCTCCCGGACCCACAGCAGCCAATTCCTTATCCCAAAAAGATCTTGTCAGGTCCTAGTCTACTTAAAATCCTGCAGCATTGGCTGCCAAGACAGGCAGACGTTCTCGCTAGTCCCTTGTCCCTTATGGGAGAGAGGCTCCAAAAGCAAACGGGCCGTAGAAAACCGCAGATGTCTCGTGTCAGAGAGATGCCACGGCCGCTGCTCACGGGGCAGCTTTGAAGGCTGCGTTGCGCCTGCAACATCCCTTCAATGTCTATACCAGAGGGATGTGTGGCCGTTCTTGCAGATTCAGGCTTAGCAAATAATTAAAGCTCCGGCTTTAAATGTCCCTCATGGGGTGTTGTTTTTGCACATGGCGCCTCGCCGAGAAGAACCCAGTCTCGCGCAGGATAGGCCCAGCGTGACAGCGTCACGGTGGATGATGGCGGTCACCTAGCCATGTCTCAAAAGACGGTGCCAACATGTCTATAGACAAGATGGTCTCTTGATGGATGTGGGTATCTCTTTGAAGTAGCTTCCCCCACATTGGCCCTGTAATTATACCTCCAAACTACAACAGTGCTTCATTAATTCATATAAGGGTCACCGCAAAGAAGCTCCTACCTTCTGGCAAATGCCTAAACCAGCAAAAAACTCCATATGTGTCTATGGCGACGTAGGCTGCGACGAGTCACCTCGCCGCCTGAAGCCCTGAACTTTGAACTGCCTTGCGGCACCAAACCTTAAACCTTGATGTTGGCACACCCCCACCTCGATGTCATAAGACTTCATGTTGGCCTGGGGTCTTCAGGGTTTTTCTTACTCTCAGACGCGGAGGCCCAGGTGGGGATGACTTCTTCGCCCTGATGCCGGACATCGTTTGGGACCACTCACTTGTAATTGTATAAGGTGCCCCAACTCTTTTCGGAAGTAAATGCTACCAACTTTTCTTTGCAAAGGATTATGTAATTATGTTCGCATGTTTGCAAAGGAGTAGAGCCGAGCTGGATGAAGTAGTCAATGAGGTCACCTTCAAAAATGTTCCTTAGAATTGATTTTACTGCGTCTGCGCTGTTCATGTCTTGTGGCATTTCTCGAACTATGCATTCCTGCTGCCTGCCTACAATACATAGTAGGGATTCCGGTATAATGGGAACCCACATACAAGCAGCAAACCCTGGAGTCTCGCCGCAATCAGTACCCCTAAGACCAGTCCTTACAGAACTCATGGAAACCCATACCGCCCGAGTTTCCATCCGGCTTTCCAAACGCTCGTGTAGGTAGCAGGCCAAAATGCAAAAACGCATTGATAAAACTCAATGGTAGTTTCCGCCCTTTCGGCTGGCACCAATATTTTTGAGGCTTACGAAACTGAAGAGTCCTAATCTTGAAGACAGCACAAACGGTTTCAGAGGTAACCGTCCCAACATTTGTATCCACCAAGTCTTCTTTGCCCCAGGAGTTCCTGGATCCTGGACCTCTTTTGCTTCCTTCTGCAGTTTTCAATCTTGATATGTGGGTCTACAAAGCAGATAGCAGGGGCTAGGCACGTTTGCCTATATATACCGCGTCCTCAATCCATAAACTTTCCCCCCAACACAGAAACAGGTGGGCTCAAACAAGCCATAATCCAAAGCTCGGAACGACCTCAGAAAGCCTGGTGTGTCTACTCCATGTCAGATGCCTTGCCATGCCTTTTTTTCGGAACTCACCGGCCTTCCAAGATACTGCCGATCCCACTCCATAGCCCACAGCTGCCATGGCATCCTGGAGAGGCCAAGCTAAAGTGCGCAACTTGTGAGTATAAGCACCCAGAAACAAACAATAAACGCCAACCCCTAAATCCCCAAATCCTAAACCCAAAGCCCCAAAACCCTAAGTTCTAAACCCAAATCCCTCAACCAACCCCCAAACCCCTATCATACAGCACAATGTTCTGTCAAGTCCTCGGAAGTGAAGTGGTGCTCTCCGTCGCGCACAGCAGAGGCCCGAAAGGTAGGGGCTATGGTAGCGCCGCCAGGCACAAGCCTTGGAAGGGGCCATGGCCTCATTTAACTCAAGCTGTTTCTTGTTGGTTTAACTTTGATATATTTGCTTCCAGCGCCTGCCGCTTTTTATGGGTGGCAGGGAATGGGTCTTATGGTTTGAAGGCTTTGGCGCTCCAAAATTTCCGCGCTAGCATTACACACCAAACATTTTTTTCATTCGAACTCTACAGGCCCCGTTTTGCATCTAGGCTCGAACACAGCCAGCCCTGAACCCTGAACCAAGAAAACTCCAGGCCTATGAAGCCCACATGATTGCTTCTCAAAAGGCCAGTATACCTTGGAGTATCTTTATATGTTGGGGTCCCTGCCCTAAACTCCAAAGCCTAAGCCCGAAACCTTTTAAACCTCAAGCCCAAAAACCCCAAACCCTACCCCCTACACCCTGAAACCAAAACTCTACACCCTAAAAACCCTAAAACCCCAAACCGGGCATCCAGGAGCTGTGAAGCCTGGAGCAATGCTGGGCCCAAGCCTGCAGCACCAAGGGCTGAGGATTTATCCCTTTAGAGTGGATACTTGAGTTGAAAAAAAAGAGACTTTATAGGCAAGATGTAGGGAAGTGCATGTCCAAGGTTAGGGCCTAGCTTTAAGACTTTTGCTTTGCACCAGGAATCGAAAACATATGGTAAACAGCATGGACATGAAATCGAATCTGGGGATACTTACAGGTTTGGTCTCGGCTAGGAGCTCAACAGACTAGACTAGAGTTTGGGGTTACATATTGGCTACAGTATCGTTTTGTGAGTCACATAAGGGAACAACAACTGTGACTACTCTGGCTTCTACGCTATGGCAGAAGCAGGCTGAGTTGAGTTCTTGGGTTTAGGTTTGTGGGGGGTCTGGGGTGTAGGGTTTTGGGGGCTCTGGGCTCGAGTTTTTTTTTTTTAAAAAAAAAAA